TACAATAAGACCTTGGACTACCCATTCACAGTTAATTACGGTGGGCATCCTGATAGCGATATGGACTATATGATACAAGAAGGCGTTATTATATCCCAACTACTTCGATATGCACGCATTTCCACCTTTCCAGAGGGGTTTCCTGACTGGACTAGACACCTTATAAATATCTATAGACAAAAAAAGTTTGATACTGCCAAAGTAGAACGCTGATTTCTAAGATTTTGGTTCAGGAACCGATCAGTACTGAGCAAATTCATCCACCCCGATGATGTAGGAATTAAACACCTAGTTAGTACGCTATTCTCATGAAAGTTTCCTTCTCATAACTACATATAATTGCTACCCGTATCACATGTTAGTTCCCTCCCCTTCTATCTGCACTGTCACTCTTATTAAAGGTTTAAAACAAAATATCAGGAGAAAAAGGAAATAGTGAAAAGGAGGAAAAGGATATTAAAATAGGTAAAGGGGTATAAAGAAATATTTGTTACAGGTAAGAAATGTTTCGGTCCATTAAGTCGTATTCATTTCTTACCGTTGCCACAGTTGGACCTCGTCAGTACGACGATTGTGGTAACACAGTAATTTAGTAAGGTATATAAATTAATCAAGGTAAAAAGATGTTAAACAGAAGAAATCAAAGTAATAGTAGGAAAAAAGGAAAATATATAATGGGAAAAAAGGAATATTACTTTTATGCTGTTACACTTTCTCTCCTTCTCTTTCTCTCTTTTTCTTTCACTTATCCTTCTTGCAAATTAGTTACATATCCTTTCAATACATGGCGGCTAGGAGGCCGTACTGACGATTCCCACTTCTACCTGCACGATTAGTCCGGTCTGTATTTACAGCTAAGGGTTGGAACACAGACTGTGTCGTAAAATACCACCTTGCTACATCTAAAGAATAAAGACAGTTTGAACCGTAAAATACCACCTTCCACATGGCACCCGAGTACAGTCCTTCTAGTCTATTATTTCTACATCCATCCTTACATAGTTCGCTTTACTCCTACCCCATTTAAGTTCTTAACATACTTGCATTCGACAATGATGCTACAATCAGCCTGGAATAAAACAAAATAATGGTGAGATACGCGTGATGAATGTGGACACTGTAAAACATATGACACAACAACTACAAACCGTGGAAATTGATGAAGCTAGGGAAGGCATTGCCGAAGTAACGAGTAAGTGGAGTAATCGAGAAATTATTATCAGCGCATACTATTGCTTCGAATTTATTCAAACATGTGAAGCAACAGTGAAACTCCCATTAGGTTTCCATATGGTGGCGTCAACGATGGGTTCAATCGTGGCAAGGAAACGGGAAGTTCACAAAAACAGAAATGATTCGACGGTTCAAATGCAAGCAATAACTGCATATTCAGCAACGAATGAAAAGAATGATATAGAACGATTTTGGAATCTGGACATTATCGGTATTACCGAGAAAATTGATCAAAAGGATGATGAGCTGACAGTGAAAGAATATGAGAAAAAAGCAACGATGGAAAATGGAAGATATGCTGCCTGTCTACATGGAGGAACAGAGAACCCGAACTGCAGTCGAACTTCGGATTAGCTTTGGGTAGGCTAAACACTTCAGTTGTAAAAATGCGGAAGAATCCAGAATTGTTGGGAAATTATGATAGTACCTTTAATAAGTATAAAGCACAATGAATCATAGAAAGGGCCAAGAAAGAAGAATTTATTGCACTACCTGCCACATCAGGCTGCGATAACTCCGCAGAAGTCTTCTACTGAACTGAGAGTAGTGTTTGATTCTTCTGCGAAGGTATCTCAAAGTTTATTTTTTTTCGAGGAACAGTGTTATTAGCAGAATTAGTCGGATTATTGTTATGCTTTCGGATGGCAAAAATAGCAGCGATAACCGATGTGGAAAAGACGTTCCTACAGATGGCTTTAAGCGAAAAAGTCAGAAAGGTGACGCGATTTTTTTGACTAAAAGATGTAGAGAATATCAGTGAAAAATTTGAAAACGTTTCGGTTTACAAGAGTTCCCTTCGGCCTTATTTGCAACCCATTCCTCTTGGCCGCCACTTTTGGCATCATTTCAAGGCATTAAAAGCAGCATTAGCCAGAAAGTTAGAGAAAAACATATACGCTGACAATTTGGTCATTTCAGCGGAAAGAACGGAAAAAGCGCTTTACAATTATGGGGAAGTGTGGAAGATGTTCAATGCAGCGAAAATGAACCGACGACAATTTCCCTCAAATGACAAGCAGAATAATCAGAGAATTAATAAAAAACTGATAAAGAAGTTTCAGATGAAGTGGAAGTGGTGGGAATAGTATGAAATATTCAGGAGGATGTTATCACTTTGCTGTTGAAGAATCCTCCGCTGTAGAACAAACGAAGCAACAGATTTTAAATTTTCTAGTTCCAGTTTTTTAGGACTCTTGGTTCCAGAACACTGCAGTTGGAGTTGTTTCTGCAGAAATTATGGAAAAAAAGTCATACGCAGTTTTGAAGGAGGAACATAAAGAGAAATGGAGAGCTCTGATGGGAAGTTGGGATGACTTAACATTGATAATTCCTAGGATAGTTAAAAAGGCTGGAAGAGGTGGAAGACAGCTACATGCTGTTTCGTCGACGCAAGTACGAAGGCATATGCAGTAGTGGCGCATCTCAGAGAATGTTCAGCAAGTGAAGTTAAAATTAGAATATTTTTTGCAAAGAATCGTGTAGTACCGATGAAGGGTTCTTCAGTGTCGAAGCTGGAATTGATGGCAGTGTTGGCTAGAGTAAGAACGGTTCAGTTCATGGAACAGCAGACGAAATGGAACAGAACTGAGACTTTCTTATGGCCTGATTCGCTAATCGTCTTGCATTGGATGAGATCTGGAGAAGCAAAGAAGGAAAGTCGATTTGTGATCGATAGGCTGAAAGAGATATGCAAAGCGAGAATGTCATATCAATTTCTGCCTACAAAAGGGAACCAGGCAGATATAGCCACAAAAGAATGTCAAGCAAATCAGCTTTTGGAGAACAAAATGTGGTGGTCTGGAACGGAATGGCTTTGGAAAAGAGACGTGTGGGTTGGCGAAAATGGCGAAAATCAGTTGGAATGGGAGGAAACACAAAAAGGAAAAGTAACGACAACGGTGGTGATGACGGAATCAAAGAAATGGGATTTGATTGATATAAATCGATTCAATTTCTGGAAAGGGTTTATTGGGATGGTAGCTAAAGCAGTTCGCGTTGCTTGAACTTAGAAAAGGAAAGTAAAGATTGAGGAAAATGAAGTGGACGCACATCCATTGGAAGAATATGTAGAAGCCGAAGAGTGATAAAAAAA